ACTGCATATATGAAATTCTCTTAAAATTACAAATAATGAAATAATTTAATAATTTAATAATAATTTAGTCTTGACTGCCATTTTTAATGCTTTTTAAGAAATTAATTACATTTTTTACATTTTATTTGCTGTTTTTAGTCCTAGTGAGCAGTGAGTGGATATTTTCATGGAACTTGTGATCATTAACCTAAGACCTTTCTTCGAAGTGGAAGTGACCAGTACAAAGTCCGCTATTCTATATGGGGAAAGATTTCTGTGTGAAGAATTTTTTCTTTCCCTATCTGTAACTCTTTTTTTGTGAGCTCAAGTGAATGGATATTAAAATGGCAGTCAAGACTAAATTATTATTAAATTATTAAATTATTTCATTATTTGTAATTTTAAGAGAATTTCATATATGCAGTCTTAATGTCTTTTACCTTGTTTTAAAGAAACAAGGAGTTCATAAAGTCAAGAACTGGATCTATTCTAATTGCATGTTCATTTTGACACAAATATTACTGTGTATTTTATGTGACATTTTCTTGCAGGGATCTGCTTGACTCACCTCTGATCACAGCAGCAGGAATGTGGGTGGTTTAATTAATTAACACTAATTGTTTTTCTTTTTCTTTTGAGGGGCAAATGTTCATGCAACTGACCCAAGCCGTGGACTAACTTCATGGGAATGGGCTTGTTTCACAGGAAGATCAGAATCTGCCTTCATCATGCAGAAGCTGATGGACAGACCATGCCCAGAACAGTTTTCTGATCAATATAAACCAGAATGGCCAAAAATGAAGGAACTTCTTGAGAAGGCTGCAGAAGCAAAAAGCTGTTTGCAGAAGATTTCTGAGTGCATAAGAGCAGCTGTCTCATTCCGGTCTTTCTATGGCCCAGAAGAGGATGGAGTCCTTGATCACATGGTGAAGGTGACAACAAGCTTGGGAAGTCCCTTCATCACTCTGGCATGCCGGACTGTGTGCCCCGGCAGCCCACCTTGTGTGGGGAAACGCAGACTGGCTGTGCAGGAAATCCTTAGGAAGCAGAGAGCAGAGGAAATCCGGTCTCAAGACAAAGATCATGTTAACAACTATGAGAAGCTCTTTCAGAACTCCAAAGTCACAGTGATCCCCAAGAAGAAGGAGCGTCGAGCTAGCCTGCAGCCCATCAGCATTGCAATGTCCCAAGTAAGCACAGTAGCTACAAGGAAAGCAAGCCTCCTGCCACTCCACCTACTTCGACGGAGCAGTGTCCGGCCGGGATTTGTCATCCCCAAAGTCCGTGTAAGCAAGGCACCTCCACCTACCTTCCAGCCAGAAAAGGCGAGAAGGAGGAGCAGTGCAAAGGACGACCCCTATCTGCAGATTCCCAAATGGAGATACAAGGAGTTAAAAGAGGAGCGGAGAAAGGCAGAGGAACTGGAGAAGAATAGAGCAGCAGAGGCTCAAAAGCCAAGGCAGGTGTCTCCTTCCCAGAGCAGGACCTGATTTAAAGGCAGTCGGTGAGAGGTTTTTGAGCCGCTAGTCTTGTTATCCCAGCAAGATTACAAGAGACTGAATGTCTTTGTGCATGCTCACTGCTCATGGAGCTGGAATACTGAGTCATGGCCTTTAAGGAGCAGAAATACAGCAATGGTTATGCCACGGCATATTTGATGGTGGAGCAAGAATGTATTTTGAGCTGGAACACATACTAGGTTAAGCAGTCTGCTGTTGATGGGATGTTCTAAGTGGTGCAGTAGTCTTGTGGATTCCTCTTTTTCCAGCTCCTGGTGAATGACTGTGAAACAGCTTGAAAAATATGTTTGAAAGGATTGTATTTTGTGTTTGTTCATTTTGCAATGGACAAAATTAAGGAGCTGTGGTTTTGACACCAGACATTCCTCCCTCTTCTTCCTTAGGCAGATATATTGCAAAGATTTATAATAATAATTAGCAGTTTAAAATATACCACAGTGTTGGTTGGCAATGAAAATCCAGGTCTACAGTTTTAGATATAATGAGCACTTTATTTCTATTCCAGTAAGCAGATCTTAAATACAGGCATTAAACCCTACAGGTCCATACAGTCTGTATGGATGCAGTTCTTAATGCTCTTGTTTTCTCTGTTGAATCTAAAAAGGGCTTAATATGAAATATCTCTGTAGTTGAGGTATTCACATCTTCTGCAAGTATAAATCAGTTGCAGGGACTGATTTCTTTGAAGAAACATCGAAGATGTGACAATTTTTGATTGCCACCATCACCTAAGATTTGCCTCCCCCACTAGATTTTCCTTTATTCATTATCTGTTGTCTCCTCTTTAGTCTCAGGGAAATTTTTGTCATTGCTTTTAACCGTGAAATAAGGGAGATGGTGAAGCACAGTGAATATTTTTTCAGGTTGATATTTAAATTTATTTTAAAAAAACTCACTAGGTTTATTGTGAGCCTTTCCAGAATATAGCCAGGACAGGAATATTATGCAGCTTTCAGAGGTTCAAGCAATTTTCCCAGGAGTCAAGTGCAGCTATATGCTGTGAATACCCAGTCAGAGGCAGCTCAACCACTGACATGGCCAGATGTCACTGCAAGCTTTGGTACAACACCTCTGGGTGCCCAAAGAGGGCAGTAGCTCACCCGTCTGTCTACACTGGGAGAAAACCTTCCCTGGTATGGAAGTTCATCTCCCACGTGGGCAGTACCCATGGATTTTTGCTGCAGGTTTTCACACTCCACATTAAGGATTCCTCTGGTTGTACCAGCAGTCAGCCTGAACAGCAAGCCAAGCCCTGGAAAATTCCGGTAAGGAACGGCTATAAATCTGCTGCTTGCTGAAGAACAACCACACTCATAGAAGTAGAGATCCAATGCAAACAGCATAGAGCACATGCTCAGAGTTAGGTTTTCCTCAGGCTTTGCACACATTTAAACTAAAATGTGCTGCAGTGTGTCGTCCTGAAGGTGTTGCTGTACTGGAGCCCAGGCAGACCCCAGCTGTGCTGCTGTCACCAGTTTCTCCCCTCAATTAAGAGAGGGAAAATTTTCCCATCCTTTAGCCCCACAGCACAGAGGATGGCCACTTTCAGTTTCACTGAATTTGTAATGAAACTGTGTCATGGGAGAAATAAATTCAGTTAATTGAAAATTAGCGCCCAGATCAGCACTTTTCCTGTCTATAGGGTCTGACAGAAGTTGGGACAGATGTGGGAAAAAAGAATTTTTCCACACAGCCTGTTCTTTGTACTTCTGTGCTGGCCAGATTGCATTGCCAGGTAGCTTCTTAGGTCAGACCTGGAGGAAAAGCACCTGCCAATACACCTGCCCAGTCCTGGGAATATGAAGATCATTTTTATCTGCAAGTGCATCAGTGCTATGCAATTCATAGGCACTAATTTTGTAATGGCTTTGAGGTGTCCAGAATACAAGCAGGACTCATTTCTTTGGAAAGCAGGATGACAATCTTCTGTCTGTCTGTGGCAGACCTGTCAGGACAGACTTCAGACTGGCACACTGGATTGAATGGTTTAACTGTTAATTTTTGTTTACTGCCAACCCAGGGTTTTGAAGATATAGCAATCAGATTTGGTTCTGAAAAGCAACCTGTACCGCAGCTGAGTACTTGAATTTGCACTTTCAGTACCACCTGCAAGAGACCAGCCATTGACAGGTGCTCTCAGGGATGAACATATAGTATGTAGAATTAGGGGCTGGAAATTAAACCTATTTTCTAATCCTTTGTACTTTACTGTGTTTATGTGCATAAATGTGATATTTCCATTAAAAGAGGCACAGACTGTTCAACTTATTTGGCACACTCATTCTTCATAGGGGTTCTTCATTGGGGATACTGCCTTTCACTTCCCAGTGGATCTAAAAGCCCATTCACTTTCACCAAAGGACTCATCAGGATCACCTGAAAGCAGTTTGGCTTCTCTGGAAGGAGTGATTGTGGGTTCACTTCCACTCCTTGTGAATTTTTCTTTAAGAGTTAAGGAAAACTATTACTTTCATTTCCCATCAGGTTTTCACTGGTCATCTTGATGGAGAGAGAAGTCATTGGTTTGCTGGCCTGCTTCCGTGTTGCTCTGCTGCAAGCAGGTGGTCTCCCAGTATCCTTGCAGAGAGTGTGACTCCATTTGGGGCATCTGTGTAAAGCCTTGCACTTGCTAGTTTTGGCAGTGCAAGCCACCGGTCTCTGTGTCTTCATTGCCTTCCTCCTCTGCTGCCTTACTACTCCCCAGCTATCTTCCCCTCTTCATCATTATCCTCACCCTAAAGGCTGCACCCCTCACTTGCTGTTTATCTTACCTTTCTGAAGGTTGTAGTGAGCAAAACTCCCACAAACCACTTCTTGAAACCTGTGACAAATGGACCACTGTGGAGGTGGAGGAGGAGGAGGCATGCCTGGCTTGCTTCCAGCCATCTGCCCCCTTGAGCTGCTGCTGCCAAGGAGGATTTGATTTCTGTTCGATTTCAGCACAAATAGAGTGGTTTGATCTGTGTTTTGTTGTAGATTTTTCTTCCCCCCAGGAGATCCATAACTATGAAATCCCAGGCAATACTGGCTGCACTTCAGGTTGCTCCTGGTCACTCAAGCAGCAGAGTTTGCCTCCTAAAAAAGATCAAGCAAATCCTTGTCAGCACCTCCTGGCAGCTTGAGCCCCTGGGGGAAGGCAAAGGGGCTGCTGCAGAAAGATGCTCCTCAGAGGGGAAAGGGACATTAATGCCTAGGGCAGTAGGAAGTCTTCTACCTGCCTTCAGTGCCAGGCTGTAGTGGGGCACATTAGTGGGAAGAATGTCCTGGAGTGTTGTAACTGGAACAGGGGCTGTGCCTGCCATCACTGCCATTCCTTGTCTTGGTACCCTGGGAATCTCACCACGATCGTCCCAGGAAGCTCCCAGATCCATGGGCCGACTTAGTTCTATAGTAACTGTAGTAACAGGGATTTAACAACAGTGACAGTGGAAGGTGAAAGTCCAACTGCTTCCCAACATTCTCTAAAATTATATTGTGCTTTCATCTTTGGCAAGGAAGAGCTTCAGTACGGGGGCTCCCAGTAGCTGTCCTCCCAGAAGTCACCATCTTCCCCATCACCCAGTACCAGCCACTGTGCTGGGCATTATCCAAGTCAGGAAAAAACCCCAAAAAGTATTCATAGATACCTCCAAAGGTATCTCAGACTGTCCCAGTATTAGAAAAGAAACCTGGAAAATGAGAAGGGCTAATTAATCTTATTCTGGAGAACAGGAATTTTCTTCTGTTTGGTGAATTCTTAGGTACAGCTAAATATAGTATTTATGGAAACACTTCATGAACTCTGGACCCTTTTTGCTTTGGTTGTGGAGCTGGTGACCACTGGAAGTAGAAATAGTATCAGTCAAATCCATGCTGAGACTGAGATGTGCTTTATAATGCTAAATATAATAAGGATATCCCAGACTTGGCAAACTTGATACTCTGAATCAGTTCCCCACCTATATCATTAAGTTATTTTAATTATATGATATTGCACTTAACCATACCTATAAAACTACCTACATGCAACACAGGCACATATAAACATCATTCATATATAAAGTAATAATGAGATACACATATAAAGCATATATATGCATATATAATTTGAAAATTTTAACACATATAATTTTTATACATATACATATAAAAAGCCTCTTACCTCGTAGTGATAATGTGGAGTACTTATATGTGTTAATGATTACCATCTCTCAAAAAGCCAGTATTAAATAATTGTTCTATAAGAGGAACAAATCATTCAGGGTATATTATGGAGGCTACAAAGAAAAAACAGACCAGCTGCCTTTTCACTACTTTATCAGATAATTAGGGTTGTTATGCACATTAATTTTGCCTAGTCAGGTTTAAATTTGTCACTTCTCTTGGCACATTTGAATTTACAATGGCTGTAGCAATGTACAATGGTTATATCTATAAAACTGTACATAGGTTTGTGGATAATTAGTGGGCCAAATGCTGCTCTTTCAGTTGTCTCTCAGGGAAACAGAAGAGGTTGGGAAAACGCATTTAGGTGGTTCATTTTCCCCTTCCCCTTGTAGCAGCTTTCCACATGAATGACAATTTGCTACTTTGCCCAAGCTCTTCCTCCCAAACAGATAGAAAATGAACAGAAACCCTCCAGAGACAGATGTACAAAATCTGTGCTCATGGGTGCCATCCTGGATGCATTCAGTAGTTTCTCACAAGGCACTGATGGAGCAGTGAGCTCCTGTAAATGTGGATCAGGAAAGGGGCACAGGAACTGCTGGAACATCTCTGCTCCTTGTGTGTGTGCATGTGTGTGTGTGTGCCAATGGGAATTTTACTCTTGGTGCCATAGTAACTGAAGTCAGCTCAGAGCAGTGTTAACCACCAAAGGTGCTTCCTGAGTGTCTGTGCACAGCTTTCTGCTGACAAAGGTGATAAAATATTTACTTTCTCACCACATGCAGCAGCAGGGAGTTAAGGTTTCCTTATGTTTGCCGCCACTATACTGAAACCAGCTTTTTTGCAGAAGCCAGTAGCATGGGGGTGTTCTGCATTTTTGTGTGAGTGTTAATGGGACACAAATCAATAAATAACGGGGAATTTAAGTAATGGCTCCACTAAAAGTTCTGTTCTAAACCAAGGTGAAGTAGTGTTTCAAAAGAATATACAAACATAATTGTACTGAAAGCAGACGTTGTATTATCAGCTTGGCTACTTTCCCAGGGAAGTGTAGTGGAATAGTTGTCATGCAGCATTTATGCAATGTCAGTGAAGGGAAATGTGGTCTTTGACTGCCTGGTATCCTTTTCAAAAAGCTACAGTTGCAGCACAAAAATTCCACTAATATGTTCATAAAAATGTACTTTGTGGGTGTTTTACACTATCAGTTTCTCACCCATAGCTTTTGAAAAATGTGGGATTTATTCTTTGCATGACTGACTGCATTATCCTTTTTTTTAAGTTCATGGGCACAATGAGCAATGCTTGCCTGTGGTTTCCCAGCTCTTCTGCAAGAGTCTTTTTAGGCTTCTGAAGGGTTTCCAGCCCTCATGAGAATCTGCACCTGTTCTTTGCTAGGAGAAACTGTCAGGTACCACAGGCTGAAC